CAATCACTGCTCCCCTTTGATCCCAGCCACTGCCAATCAATCACTGCTCCCCTTTGATCCCAGCCACTGCCAATCAATCACTGTTCCCCTTTAATCCCAGCCACGGTCAACCAATCACTGCTCCCCTTTAATCCCAGCTATGGCCAATCGATCACTGCTCCCCTTTGATCCCAGCCACGGCCAATCGATCACTGCTCCCCTTTGATCCCAGCCACGGCCAATCGATCACTGTTCCCCTTGAATCCCAGCCACGGCCAATCACCCTCCGTGGATGTCCATCCCCTGTCCACTGTTTTGTCCCCGACCTGACAGTGCTGTCTTGTAAAATACACTGAAAGAGATGTCAGAACATGTTATCAGGAGGGACTAGTCTTGGAAAGGGGACATCGCGCTTGGTAAAACAGAAGGTCGGCGAAAGGAGGGAGATGCTCAAGAGATGGACGGATGGAAGGACGCAGTGGCTGTGACCACGGGCTCAAACATGGCGACGACGGAGAGGCTGGTTAGCGCAGGCCCTACTGAGCACAGGGTCACCGCGAGTCAGCGATCCCTGGGCACCCGGCACCCCGCCCACCCTCATGCTGACACACACATTTTCACTGCCACCTGACACCTTTATGGTTTTATGCGTACATTTGAATATTTGGTCCTTCTGGGATCCGTGTATCTGTCTCTGTGGGGTGAGTTGAATAGGCGACATGGTACATGGGCAGTTGGTTACGGTGGCACCATTCACACCAGCACTCTCAACCTGGCAGCCCGATCCTGTCGAGGAGCGTTCCATTAGTCAGCCTGCCTCGCTCTCCTTTCTCCCACTCTCGGTCAGTACTGGGCCCTGAGCACAGAGGCAGGCGACCGACACCCTCCACTCCCTGCAGTCTGACACGGACTGCTACACATACCTGGAAGAATGTGTCTTGGAGACCCAGGGCACCACCGTCACCGGTCACCGTGCATTAGGTCGCTGCTACCCAGCCTTTGCCCTCTGCTGGACGCCAGGCGGCTCCTGCTACTCAGAGGGTGGTCCTCCAGCCAGCAAACAGGCACGAGCTGGGAACGGGCTAGCAACGCAGACTCCAGGGCCCACCCCAGCCCTCCTGAGCCAGAGTCTGCATTTCAGCCAGATTCCCAGGGGCATGTCTACACATTAAAGTCTGGGCAGCTCAACTCTGGTCCTGTGCCTGCTTGTTTCTGGGCCGATTCCCGCATTCTGGTGGCAGTTCCTGAAGGTAAGTGTCTCCCTGCAAGGTCTGCCCACCTTCCCGCACGGCCCCCTAAGTCAATTGCAGCGCGCAGTGGCCCTGTGGGACAGAGAACTGCTCCATGGGGTTTCTGAGACTGCGCGTCTTCGTGGGGCAGACGGCCTCATCGCTCTCCCACAGCTGGTGGGTTGAGCCACCGACCTTGCAGTTAGCAGTCCCAGACTTAACCCACCAGGGCTCACATTCGGGCTGTGATCAGATGCTTACCTTTCCGTTCAAACTTTAAAATCATTTTGCAAGTGGCAGGGTATAAGATCCACATATAAAACTCACGAATTCTTGCACACTAACCAAGAGAACTCTGAAGAGGAAATCAGGCAAGCAGTGACATTTATGATCGCCACCCAAAAGATGGAGCACCCTTAGGAACACATCCGACCAGAGAGACAAAAGTCCCACACAAAGAAAACCACGGAACACTACTACAAGAAACCTAAACTAATGGAAGAATGTGCCATGCTAACGGATAGATTTAACCTCGTGAAAATGTCATTGCTCAAAAACGATCAATAGCAATATTGCAATCCTTATCCAGATTATATCATCCTTCTTTAAATCGATAGAAAAACTAGCCATTAACCTTACGTGGAATAGGAAGGGAACTCACAGATAAGAAATGCATTACTGAAGAGCACAGTAGGGGCCTCACACTGCCCAGTCTCAAAGTCTACCACTCAGCCCCGGTACCAACACAGCCTAGTCACAATGGAGACATAACCCAGTGGAACCGAATTGAGAATCCAGAAGTAAATCTATCCACCTGTGGACAGCTGACCTTTGACAAAGAGCCAAAACTCACAAGTAGGGAAGAGATAGTCTCTTTGACAACAGTGTTGGCAAAAACAGACAACCATTTGCCAAAAAATGAAAACAGGGCGCACACAGATAACAACAAACTCAAGATGGATCAAAGACCTAAATGTAAAACCAAAAACCTATAAAGATGATCAAAGAAACTAAAAAAAATTTTTTTTAAACAGGGACAAGCTTAGAGGCCCTAGTAGAGGGTGAAAGTGGAATCACTTGGTGTGGCTCTTCTATCTCCCACCAAATGGTCAGTTTTGCCGCTGCACTGTGCATAAAATGGGCGGTCTCAAAGCAGAAAGAGCATCTCCTGACCGCCCAGAGGGGAGCTGCCAGCAGAGGCCCTGCCTGAAGTGGCGTAGGCAGCACCGGCTGCAGCGCGGAGCCCGGGAGGGCGCAGCAGGCTGCCCTGGCCCGCTGAGTAGAGATGAGTGTCTGAGGGCAGGAGCTAGCTTGCGGAGTGGGTGCCCTCCGGACACTGACCACTGCTACAAGAGCTTGCAACCCTTGCCTGGACAGACACCACAGGGCTGAGAGGTCAAGGGACAGAGCGAGACGTGCCTGCCACAGCGTGGCTGAGAAGGAGCTCCGTGACCCTCTGCAGATCTTCACAGGGGCAGCCAACCCCATCTTCACAAGTGGCCGATGGGTTTGAACTGCCAACACCTAATGTCCAAGGCCACCGGGCCCTTTTCAGTTGGAAGGGAGGCTTTATTCCACATGGACTGTTTTTCCAAGCAGGGATGCATTTAAGTGAGAGCTTCCGCCTGGACTGTGACCACGGACCTCAGGGCAGCTAGGCGGGAGCAGCGGGGTCTTCTCACAAATGCTCAGCAGGTCCCTTTCCCAGAGCGCCTTTGCACGCACGCATGCACGCACTCACTCACCTGGCGAGAACGGGCTCAGGAGAGAAAGCACCAAGGAAATCCCGAGCTCTATGGCACAAAAAAGGCAGGGAGCCTCATGGAAACTGCGGGGATTGGGATGCGGCCTCGATGTCCCAGAGAGGAACGGCGGTTAAGCGTGCCATCCCCGTCTCAGAGAGAAGGCAAAACGCAAGCCCACTGCCACCCAAGTCTATTCCGATGCACACTGACCCAAGACGACAGAGCAGAACTGCCCCTGTGGGTTAAAAGCAAGAGAAACATAAACACCAAACTCACTGCCGACAGGACAGGCTAGAACTGGCCCTGTGGGTTTCTGAGACTGTGGCTCTTGTGGAGGAGAGAGCCTCGTCTTGCTCCTGAGGGGCGGCTGGGGGTTAGCAGCCCGGCGGGTCAACCCCACGCCACCAGGGCTCCTTGTAAAATAAATACAGGGGCTAAGCAATCTCCCGGGACACCCCCGTGCACATCTCCTCTCAGGTTCCCCACAACCTTTCTGAAGGCCCCTTGTCCACAGAAGGATGCAAAAGGAAGTGTGGCTATTCAGTCGGGGGCACAACACAAAGAACCTCAAACACGCACACGCACACGCATGCATATATACGCGAAAGACACATTGGTGGCACAGGGGTTACACACTGGGCTGCCAACTGCAAGGTCAGCAGCTCAAACCCACAAGCAGCTCTGGAGGAAAAGACAGGCTCTCTGCTCCCAGGAGGATGTAGAGCCTTGAAAATCCACCGAGGCAGTTCTGCTTGGTCCACGGGGTCACAGGTGTCAGAATCGATCTGACAGCAAGGTGTTTCGAGGTGACTGTCTGAAAGGTCCGGGATGTGCTGGGCAGGGAACAGGGCTCCTGGGGCGGGCGCGGGGC